AAGGTGTGGTAAAAATTAAGTTGAACGGGTCAGTATGGGAGCTGAAGGATGTTAGGCAAATTCCCGACCTGAGAAAGAACTTAATATTCGTAGGCCAGTTGGCTGACGAAGGATACACCACGATCTTCCATGGAGATGATTGAAAGATCTCAAAGGGCGCAATGACGATTGCCCGAGGCAAAAAGACTGGTACCCTGTATATGACAGCAAGTGCACGTTGTTTAATCTCAGTTGCAGCAGACAATGAGACTTTAAAGTTGTGGCACCAGAGACTCGGTCATATGAGTGAGAAGGGGATGAAAATCATGAACACAAAGGAAAAACACCTAGGCCTAGAATCAGTTGATTTAGATATGTGTGAAGAATGCATACTTGGAAAGCAGAAGAGAGTTAGCTTTCAGACAAGTGGCAGAACCCCAAGGAAAGAGAAGCTAGAGCTTGTTCACTCAGATGTGTGGGGACCAACAACCACCGCGTCCATTGGTGGAAAACACTACTTCGTGACTTTTATCGATGATCACTCTCGGAAAGTATGGGTCTACTTTCTGAAGCATAAGTCAGAAGTATTTGAAGCTTTCAGGAGATGGAAAGCTATGGTCGAGAATGAGACCGATCTGAGAATAAAGAAGCTCAGGACCGACAATGGCGGTGAATATGAAGACACCGGATTCAAGAAGTTCTGCTATGAGCACGGGATCAGAATGGAGAGAACCGTGCCAGGCACGCCTCAGCAAAATGGTGTAGCTGAGCGGATGAACCGAACGTTGACAGAGAGAGCCAGAAGCATTCGGGTACAGTCAGGCCTACCGAAGCAGTTCTGGGCAGAAGCGGTCAACACAGCAGCTTACTTGATCAACCGAGGTCCATCGGTTCCATTGGAACACAGAATACCAGATGAGATATGGTGCGAAAATGAGGTAAAACTCTCACATCTTAAAGTTTTCGGTTGTGTAGCTTACGTGCATGTTAGTGATCAAGACAGCAAAAAAAAATGCACTTTCATCGGCTATGGTGAAGATGAGTTCGGCTACCGCATTTGGGACAACGAAAACAAGAAAGTGATCAGGAGCAGGGATGTGATATTCAACGAGAAGGTGATGTACAAGGACATGCACAAGACTGATGACTCAGAGAGCGAGTCAACATTTATAGATGTAGATGTTATCCCAGGTAACCTCTCGAAAGAACCCAATGCAGAGGGTCCTCAGCTAGAAGAGCAAGTTGGACAAGATGGTGCGCAGGAGCCCGACGCACCAGCTCCGATATTAAGAAGAACTTCTCGTCCTCCTGTACCCAACAGGAGATACATGAACTATCTGTTACTGACAGATGGTGGGGAGCCTGAAAGTTTTGATGAAACTTGTCAGAGTGGAGATGCGAGCAAATGGGAGCTTGTCATGAAAGATGAGATGAAGTCTCTCATCTCAAACCAGACGTGGGAACTAGCTGAGTTGCCCACGGGTAAGAAGGCACTCCACAACAAATGGGTGTACCGAGTGAAAGAGGAACAGGATGGCTCCAGAAGATATAAGGTCCGATTAGTTGTTAAAGGTTTCCAGCAGAAGGAAGGAATTGACTACACCGATATTTTCGCTCCCGTGATGAAGCTAAATACTTTCAGGACGGTGATGAGTATTGTAGCAATTGAAGATCTTCATCTCGAGCAGTTAGACGTGAAGACGGCGTTTCTTCACGGAGATCTAAAAGAGAAGATATACATGCACCAGCCAGAAGGTTTCTCAGAAGCAAAGAAGAAGAACCTAGTGTGCAGACTCAAGAAGAGCTTGTATGGCCTGAAACAAGCCCGAAGACAGTGGTATAAGAAGTTTAACCGCTTCATGTACAAGGAAGGTTTCCAGAAATACAACGTCGACCGCTGTTGCTATTTCAAAAGATATCAGTCCAGTTATATCATCCTACTGCTGTATGTTAATGATATGCTGGTTGCAGGTGCAGATATGAAAGATATCAGGAGTTTGAAGCAGCAGCTGTCAAAAGAGTTTGACATAAAGGACTTGGGTCCAGCGAAGAAGATCCTTGAAATGCAAATTATGAGAGATAAGAAGAGAGGTCTTTTGCAGTTATCTCAGGCAAAGTACATCAATCGTGTTTTGTAGAGATTCAACATGGGCGACGTCAAGCCAGTGAGCACATCCTTGGCCAGCCATTTTCGCCTATCAAAGGATCAATCTCCTCAGTCAGAAGAAGAGAAAGAGAGTATGGCTCAGGTCCCTTACGCCTCAGCTATCGGAAGTTTGATGTACGCAATGGTATGTACGAGATCAGACATTGGCCATGCAGTGGGAGTGGTCAGCCGGATTATGTCGAATCCAGGAAAAGCTCATTGGGAAACGATCAAATGGATTTTGAGGTATCTACGAGGCACCACACAGAAGTGTTTGCACTTTGATAAGGGAGAGGTGAAAGTGCAAAGGTACGTAGATGCAGACTTCGGTGGTGAAGTCGATCACCGAAAAAACACCACCGGCTATGTATTCACTGTCGGAACTACAACTGTTAGTTGGATGTCACAGATACAGAAAATTGTCACTCTGTCCACTACAGAAGCTGAGTATGTTGCAGTTACTAAAGCCAGTAAAGAGATGATATGGCTTCAGGGTTTGTTAACAGAGCTGGGATTCAAACAGGAGAAAAATGTTCTGCACAGCGATAGTCAGAGTGTGATCCACTTGGCTAAGAATTCCGTATTTCATTCTAGAACGAAACATATTGCGCTTCGGTACCACTTCATCAAATCCCTGTTGAAAAATGACGTGTTAAAACTGGAGAAGATTCCAGGAAGTAAGAATCCAACAGATATGTTAACAAAGACGGTGACCGTTCAGAAACTAGAGTTGTGCGCAACTTCAGTTGGCCTTCATGCATAGATGATGAGGGCGGAGCCACACAGGAGATGATGCTTGTAGGAATAGCCTGCTGATGGCGGTTTGGTCTCCAAATGGGAGATTGTTAGTTTAGGTGTAGGCCAAACTCACCTTGCAGGCGAGTGCGAGCGTGAGCGACCCCCCTTGCAGGCGAGATCCGATATCGAGCTCGAAGTCCAGAAGCAGACGAGCTTCTCGAGCTGGCGATTTTGAACAGGCGAGTTGAGGAGATCAGGCGACTTCTCTGGCAGGCGAAGTTGAGGGGGGAGGGGGCGGATGATTTCCCCTATAAAAGGAAACCCGAAACCCTAGCCCCCTTTGCTGTGCTTTTCCCTTTCTCTCTCTCTTCGATTCCAGGCGGCGGCGGCGACTGCTCCCAGCTCCTCCTCGTGTTCGTCTTCAAGCGGCGGCGAATTTTTTCTTGGTTCTCTTTGATCTCCAGCGCCTCTCACGTGATTGAAGGGGGGGTTTAAAGAAGAGGGAAATAAAATAGAAGAGGGGTGATTTAAGAGGGGTATTTAAGAAGTGGGGGAATCTTACTGTAGCTACAGTAATGATTGTATTTATTGAGGAATCTCAAGTTTGAGATTCGCTCTTAAATTGTAATTTCTTGTTGAGATTAATAAGAAATTTATTGTGTGGCTCCCGAGGACGTAGGCAGTTGCCGAACCTCGTTAAATCTTGGTGTATTTTCTCTATACCGCGTTTCTGTTGCATTAGAGTTTCAGCGTTAAATTCCCTACAATTTGTACTCTCAATAAAGAGAGATGATTTTATTTAAAAAAATTTATTAGTTTATTACTACTCTAAAAGTCTTCTTATATTTGGTAAGAAGGGGGTTGTTATGCAATTTCGGTTGCTCCAACATAGCGGGATACAAGGAAGTGAGACCCGGATTGTGGAGGGCTGAGTAGGGTGTTCCAGAAGTTGCTGAAATTGCGAACTTTTTTTTAGAGAAAGAGGTGCAAAGTAGTCGCCATGATATTCGGGAGCCACGTACAAAGCATGTATATTTATTATGTTACCAAAACAATAAAAAATTCAAATACGTACTCAATAATAATGGTAAAAATAATCAAATGCTATAGTTAAAGAACAAAGTCAACGAAGCCCTAAGCCTATCGTAAACCAGGTTCCCCCTTCCAACCCAGGTTCAACTCAAACTCTACTCTCAAACACAATGCCAGCCTTTGAGCGAATTAGATTGGTTGGTTTTGGCTGAGCCCAACCCAGATGCATCCTTATATCATTGCTAATATGCCACTAATTTACTTACCATCTGGTAAAGGTATATCAAGGTGAACCATCACAATAAACTTGCCCGAATACCAAATAACTAGTGTACCAAAATAACTAAAAATAATAATTGCTTATCATATGTCACTGGTTAAAGGTTAACATATTTTATAACCAGTTGCTATAACTAACCAGCACAATCCCTTCTCAAGCTTCTTCCAGAATCATACTACTTATCATGTTCTATACAACAAACATAGGATCCAGACTTCACAGGCAAAACTGAAGTTCCTGCTTAGCCCTTTAATGCTAATCACGATTGAATTACGACATTTATAAAGTAAGTGAATGTTATTCGCGACAAAATAGCTCACAAGTCCAGAGCATTTGTCTTCAGCATGTTACTGACAATAATTTTCCTGATTGAATATCTTAATTTCAAAACACCAACT